TTAATTTTAATTTTTTTATTAGATAGTGAAACTTAATTATTAAAGGACTTGGGAGTGAATTTTGAAGGGAAAGATATTAAGATAGTGAGTTTTATATATCAAGATATTTAAAGTAATAAATTCTGTGTGTCAAGATACTTAAATTATAAGTCCTAAATAAGTTAGGAAAATAAGATGTATATAAGCTATGATAACTCCATATAAAACTTTATAGATATACCTAAATAAGTCCTTAATTAAAGTTTATTGGGTTGGAATGACCTAGAATATATTTTTCTTATAATAACACGGTTAATGTTTTTTATCCAATTAACTTGTGTAATATAGCATTATTAGAATTAATAATATATTTAAAATATTATTCGCTTCCAATTTTGATAACTTTATCATTATTATTGTGACTAGATGTATATGTGAATTAAAAAAAATATATAAAAATCATTTTTAATTTTAACTCATTAATTATATAAAAAATTTTAGTTATATGAAAATAAATCCAAAATTACAATCATATGAAATTTTGAATTATATATGAAACCATAACACAAATATGAGCTCCCAATATATTATTGCATCCCTATTTAACAACTATCCTCCACAATTATAAATATTGTAACATTAGTTTAACATTTTTTTTATAATTATTATTTTATTTTAGATAAATCTATCTATTTAACTTACTAATAAATTGAATCAAGTTAATTAAATAGTTTTTTTTGTCAAAAAGTAAATTAAATAATTTTTTAAATGACATATATTTGACTTTAATAATTTATATATTTACTTCTTTTTCTTTATGATATTATTGTAGAGATTTTATAATATATTTTTTAGGATTTGTATAATTAAAAAAATATTTTAGTTTCCTAATAACCTAATTAGATGCATATATTTGTACAACTTTATATTATTAAGGTTTAAATATAAAATTAATTAGCAACATAAGAATAGTCTAATAAGTATTTAAACCATATCACATGGTATGAGATAGATGATGTGAGACTTTCAACAACATGTCCCTTCTAACAAAACTTAGATAAATGGATATTTTTGATCTACAATGAAAAGACAACTTTTGATTTAAGATAACTATCAGAAAAAAATATAAGGTTTGACTCTGATACCATATTAAGATTGCAATATAAAATCAATTATAATTTGAGGAATAACCTAACAAGTATTTAAATTATACCACACGGTATGAGATAGATAATATGAGACTTTCAACATATATATTGTAAATAGATTATACATATTCTATTTTATATTAGATAATAAATATTTTTAGTTTATATTTTTTAAGTTAGTATCTAAGCATTAATAATCATTTATATCTTAAAAAATTTGATACATACGAAGTAAACTTAGTTTCTTTTATTGTTCAAACTCAAAGAATTTTAAATATTTTTTCAAAAGTATGCTACGATGACAAGAAGAAGACGTAAATATAAGAATTGAAAAAGAAAATTTTCACTCGTCAAAATCTTCATTAGAAGCAAATATAAATAAACTTAGTAAGATTGTTGATATTTATAATAATATATGAGTTATTGATACTTGAGTAACAAATCATATGATATTTTATCCTAAAAATATCACCCAAATTTAAATATTTACACAAAAATATGTTTCTATTACAAATACAAACCAAACCCAAATTATCAAAGAAACTTCTACAAATCTTGTAGTATTTTAAATCTCGATTTTATCCTGGTTGTTTATTCTTTAAATTTTAAATTTTCATTTATTTCTCAAATAATAACTAATTTTATCTAGTATGATAATTTTTTGGTTTAACTATTGTGTTCTTAAAGACATCAAAACAAAACAATCAACTGAATATATATGTTATTAGTTTTAGTTATGGTACCGGAGAGGAAACTTGTATTGCCTAGATATGTAAAAAAAGAAAGAATCCTACTTTATTTAGAAAATATGATATATTTCTAGTTTTAATTGTGATGTTTATGAACTAATAAAGAGTCATAAAACTTTATTTCCATAATTTTTTAATAAAAGTCATCAACCTTTTATGATGATTCTAATGAGTAATTTAATCTAAAATTCAAACTTTAGGTGAATCTCATTGTTTTATAATTTTTATTGATAATTGTACAATGACGATATGGTTATACTTAATGAAATAAAAAAAATGTTGTACGTGAATTATTTAAAAGTTTTCATAAAACGATAAGACCTCAATATAATGCTTAAATTTATTTTTACAAGTGATAATGGTAGAAAGTTTAAATATTCTAAAGTACAACAACATTTAGAATATAGTATTATTAATCAAACTACTTATCTTAATACACTTCAACAAAACGGAGTTACTAAGAAAAAAACAATATTTATTCTAAATAATTTAATTGTTACTCTCAAAGCTTCTAATTTACCCAATTATGCATTTGGATGTGTTGCATTTGTTCATCTTCATAAACATAAATGTAATAAGTTGGTTCCATTTTTTAATATGTTGTATATAAAAAATGTTATAAATGTTATTATCCTCATACTCATTATATGTATATAATATATTGAATGTGATTTCCTGTGAAGACACAATTTATTTTGCTCCTAAGTCTGAGTTTCAGGGAGTGAACTAACAAAAAATCTAAGAAATTCAAATTCTTACTAAAGATATATTTTGCTCGTAAGTATAATATGAATCTAAGTGATATATTTTCATATCATCCTCCTTTAAGAGATGAAGAAGAAGTTGACCTTGAAGCTTCACAAGAATCTCTTATTCGAGATAACATTGAAGTATCACAAGGATATCTTAATAGAGATAATATTAAAGTCATACATAAACATCTTAGTAGAGATAACATTGAAGTATGACAAAGAACTCTCACAACCCAAAAAATACAATAAAAAAGTATGTAAATTGAAAAAAAAAAAAATTGTTGAAGCAATATCTACGGGCATTATTTAAAAGGTTTACAAAATCTATTACAACATTTGGATATCATGAAAGGAATTCAAGTCATACTTTATTCTAGAAGAAACAATAAGGTAAGATAATTACACTTACTGTATATGTGATGATATAATTGTTATAAGAATAATGATCACCAAAGTAAAACATTACAATATTTATTAAAAGAGTTTTAAATAAAGGGTTTTGTCCTTAAAATATTTTCTAAGTATTGAAGTATCATATATAAGAAATGATCTTTTGTTTTTCTCTCGACTAAAATTTGCCTTAACCTATTACAAGAAACTAATATGCCAACTTGTAAAATAATGATACACCAATAGAAGAAGATTTAAAATTATTTATTGCGTCAAATTAAGTCCCTTAGATAAGTTTATTAGATATTTATGTATAATATCAAAGAACAACATACTACTATAGTGATGCACAATTTAAGATATATAAAGTCAATACCTAAAATATTATTATTGTTCACCAAAAATATAAATTATCAACATGTATATAATGATGTTAATTTGACTAGATTATTGGACTACAGATGTTTAATATCGGGATACTTTATATTTATTAGTAGTAATCTTATTATATGGAGAAACACAAATCAAAATGTGGTCTCTCGCTCAAATATATAAACTTAAATTAAAGGTTTGACACTTGAAATTGGTAAAGATTTATGACTAAAATTTTTCTTGTAAGATCATAAATACTCATTCACATAATCAACTAAATTATATTGTAACAATAAAGTTACTTCCAATATTATTTATAATCTAATATAATATAATTGAACAAAACATGTTGCACTAGATAAATTTTTTATCAAGAAAAAAATTTGAAGAAAAAGTTATAAAATTATTTATAATTTACTCAAAATATCAATTAACTTGTATCTTAATCTAAATAAAATATTCTTAACATATCTTATTAAAGTTAAGTATATGATATTTATACACATAAACTTCTGAGGAAATATTAATTTATTTTTAAGATATAATAGAATAGATTTTATATTATCTTATTAGATTTACATTATTGAAAAAAAAATTAGTTTTCTAATAATCTAATTAGATATCATAATTACATCATTTTATATCTTATAAATAGGTTATAGTATTTTATTTTATAACATATTTTAATTTATATTTTAAGTATAACAATCCATTTAAAACAAATACTATACGTGATGTTAATTAAAAAAATGGAACTTCAAAATTTTATAGACTCGTATTTACAAAGCTTCGTATATTAAAACATATTTTATTAATTTAAAAAGAGTAATTTAATTATATTTATATGAATTAAAGTTAATAAGCTTATATATTTGAAGTATAAAATTATTATTTGAAATCAAAAGTTATTGTATGATAAAATTCGTTAAGTTTTCGGATCATTTGTAAAAGACGTAACCTATGTGTAGCGCCAAATTTATCAAAATATAACTGTAAAGTTAAGTAAATTTTGGTAAAAAAAATTTACTCTGAATCTCGATTATATACATTGCTCTCTCTTTTTTAAAATAAAGAGAATTCTTTTTTTTTTTAATCTTTTTCTACATTTTGTAACTCACTAAATGGCGGTAATGCTACAAATTTTGATATTGTAGAAATTATATAATATATATATTTTTTGTTTTGTTTTGAAGAACTGAGATGAATTAACAAAAGTTTGATCCATCTGAGATCGGGTGCCGTTTGTAAATATTTGATGATCCAAAATTGTCTGTCTGCTTTCTTTTATATGTACATTGAGAGGCAGAGATGCAGAGTACGTGAAAAGGGACAATTGCATTATTGTGATTGTCGCATTTGTATGTGGAAGTACAGTTGTTTATTTCTATTATTAAGTTTGGTTTTAGTATGGTACCTAAAAAAACAACGGTTTTAGAATCATACCACACAAACACAGAAGTCGTATGAAGTCAGAAAATTGACATTGGAGAAAACCACATTTAATTGACAAGATATGTAATTTTCAAATTGCGAAAAGGATGAGTCATTAGGATAGTTAGTAGAAGTTGCAGCAATTTCTAAGGGGGGAAACGTGACCTTAACCTGGACAGATGTCAGAAGCATTTTGCATTTGTTCACAAATGATGAAACTTTTCCAGAAGATCATGGTTTTGAAAAACCATCCCAAAGAAGAGAAGGGCAGTTTTCTCCATAGGGTACCTGGCTGGCAGAAAAAAAAAGTTAGTGAAGAAAAGGAAAGGGCCAGAGAGTTTTCAAAATTTTTAGTGTAATTACCAAAGGGGAACAAAAGAACCTAGAGAAGCTTCTGTTATCATCAATTTAATGCAGTATACTTTGTTTTGCACACCTTGCTACTCTCAGGGATTACTTGTCTATCAGAATTTTGCCCTTCTCAAATCATGTGGTTAATTTATACTTGATGTTTCTATTATTGCACTAGGTTTTCCCTGGCAAACCCACTCCTTCAATTTCCCTACATACTTCTTTTATCCATCACTCTCTCTTCTTGCTATTATCCTATATCATGTGGGAATGGGGACGTTTCGTCACACTTGACAAGTTTCAAACACTCCCAGCTCTAAGCACCATGCTCCATAACTTCCTAGGTCGGTGAAAAGTAAGAGCCCTCTTAGCTACCTTTCTAGCATATGGCAATTGCCAAAATTTGGTACATGCAGTCACATGAGGATGAGAAGTCTTTTGTGTTCATCTCTTGAGAAAGTGCCAATATCAATACTTACATAAACAATTCTCTTCTTCTATACATACTCATTCATACATATGGTGCATAGAAACCGTGGGAGAATCAAGACCGTCCAAACATGATGACCCCGATGGTGGGGCCAAAGATTGTCCCGTGAAGAAGGGTGAGGTGCCCAGTTGAGGAAAGTCAGATATGAATTAAAAAATATTGGCAGTGTCCAATCATATTTTGGTACAACTTTCTCCTCTCTAAGGCTTCTCCTATTTATTTGATTCCCTATCATGCTGCCATTTTATTTCCTCAACGTTGCTTCTCTAACATCATAATAATCCTGTTTAACCAAAGCCTTCATAACTCCTCCCCTCACCCCACCACAACACTCTTCACTTTCCTACGCATTCATTCTTCCTCCACGTAGGTTTGGATAAAAGAGTTTCCAAACCATTGGTGGATTCTAGACTTGGTGAGTGACGTACTCATGGGAAGACACTCTTGCTGCTACAAACAGAAGTTACGGAAAGGCCTTTGGTCTCCAGAGGAAGACGAGAAGCTTCAGAATTACATCACCAAACATGGTCATGGATGTTGGAGCTCAGTCCCCAAACTTGCTGGTATATATACATATATATATGTAGTACTATATTGCTTGTTTGCTTTTTTCAAATTTCAACACTTCATTGATGCTGAAGTGTGAATAATGAAGGACTAGACTAGAGAGTCATTCTAACCGTAATTGTACATGTCAGGTCTGCAGAGGTGTGGGAAGAGTTGTAGGTTGAGGTGGATAAATTACCTGAGGCCCGATTTGAAGAGAGGAGCATTCTCACAGCAGGAAGAGAACATGATCATTGAACTCCATGCAGTCCTTGGAAACAGGTAGTTTAGTAATACAGTTATATATCTCACTAGGCCTTCTTTTCTCTTTCTTTTTTAACGTACAGTTATTACTTTTCACTTTTGTTCTTCTGTATGTCTGGTTTATTTGTTTTTCACATGAATTTTTTGGTGGCTGCTTTATCAGGTGGTCTCAGATTGCAGCACAGTTACCGGGAAGAACTGACAATGAGATTAAAAACCTATGGAACTCATGCCTCAAGAAGAAGCTGAGGCAAAGAGGCATTGACCCAAACACCCACAAACCACTCTCTGAGGTTGAGAACGACAAGGACATGCCACCCTCAACCGACAAAGGCAATCAGAAAGCGTCAGTGGCATCCAATGAATTAAGTTTGGTTGATCAGCCAGCAAAAGCCATGCCTTCAGAGAGAGACCCTCTTGAAGTTTCCACTAGTTCAAACCAGGAACTATTCCTTGATAGGTTTGGTGCTACCTGCCATGACAACAGATGCAGACCCTCTGATATGGTGGGATCATACTTCTCCTTCCAGCACTTGAATTATGGAACAACAAACATGGGCCTCTCTGCAAACCCCAACAGCTCTCTTTGTTTCATTCCACCCTCCACTTCTTCAGACCTTAACAATTCCCCCATATCCTCCTCTATGCTCCATTCAATTTTCCCAACACATGTGAAGCTCCAATCTAATAACAACCCTTCCATATCCTCTGATGCGGTTCAAAACTGGGAATGCAACAACACAGTCAAAAGCAATGCGAGTATGCAGTTACAAAGCAGCACAAACTTCCTTGACAACACGTGGGGGGTCGCAGAGTCTATGAAGGTTAACATTAACAAAGATGCTCAAGTGCCCCTTCAAGCAGAACAAGAGGATCTAAAATGGTCCGAGTATCTGAACACCCCGTTTATTCTGGGCAACACACCGCAGAATCAAATCCAAACCTCCCAAACTATCTACAGTGAGGTTAAGCCTGAAACAGGATTCATAACAGATAAGTCATGTACTAGTTGGTACCATCAGCCACCAGCTTTTCAACTTTCCGATATTTATAGCAAGGATATGCAGAGATTTTCAGTGACTTTTGGACAAACCCTTTAACCTGTACGTAATATGTGGAAACTTCAATTCAACGAAAGAGACAAAGATGTTGCCGACTTAATTTCCAGTATGAACCTAGTCAGAAATTTCTCTCCTGAGTTCTGACCACAGGTGTGTGCTGTAAAAAAATTTCTTTCCATATTGTACATTATGTTACAGTGTAATATTTGTGATTTCCAGCTTCTTATATATTCCCACCATTTTGTTAATCAAACATAGAGGCACTACTGCTGAATAAGGCTTGTTCCAATTCAAGGCTTCTCTTACAAAATTCTTCAGTAGTTTATTATGGATGTACATGTAGCTTGTGAGCTATTTTGTGTGTATACAATTGATAGCATTGTTTTATATTTTTCTACCTTCATTGAAGTTTCATTAAGGGTTATGTTGTTATTTTGTTCCAAGAGTTGAACAGTTGACATGGCATTAGTTCATGGAGCGTGCGTGTGACTCAATAGTTTCAAATCCTAATATCTTTAACATGTCCGGGATTTGTTCTCTCTCTCTCTTTTTACACAGTCATCTTTTCACTTGAACCTTTTCAAATTGAGAATCCATTGAACTTCCTTATTTTATTTTATTTTTCTCTCTCACTATCAAAGCACCAGGGACCCTATTTCTTAAATGGGTGTCTGTCACTGTCTCCTACAGATAGAGATTGTTTTCACTTTTTGAAAGACCTGAGCACACTTCCTTCCCCTCTCAATGACTCAAGACAAGAAAGTATGCAATACTTGTCTTCCTTTGATTTACCTCTTTCAAAAGGGTCATCCAGTTGTACACACCACACACCGCAGACATGGACAAATTTGATTGCCAACTCAACAGTTGTAGGCACTATAGCCACAAAGAGGCAAAGAAACCACAGCCATTTCTGCCACACCACCGACTAGTTGAGAAACTCAAAGGCCACAAAAAGAACATATTTAACAGCTTTCTTCGGTTAACAATCTCGTATGGACACAGTGAAGAATGAAAAAGAAAAAGGAAAGAAAATGAAATGGACTCATAATTCAATGTTAGAGAAGAGGATATTTGATTTATTGTGGTGTATATTGAGAAGTGACACGAATTGTACCAATTGAAAACAAAAGGATTCTGTGTGAATGTCCTTAGCGTGGGCCTATTCCTCTAAAAGCTTCACACCAGATAATGGGTCCCCAAGTGGGCATCTACATCTACTGTTGCTGAAAGTGAAAGTAGCAAGATAGAAAAAAAATAAATAAGAGGGGATGAGGTGTTCCTTCACACAGACATGACAGAAATGACCGAGAGAAACAACATGAAAACGAAAGAAAGAAAGCATCCTTCACGTAGAACTTGTTCTCAAGAACCATTCCCCCACCATTGAAACAAGTTTTATTTTTTCCTTTGTTTCCATTCCAATTAGTGAAACACTTTTGACCAGTACTTGTCCAACATATCCATTCATAATTGAGTGGCTACACCAAACCTTTGAAGTCACAAAATTTTCACTGAATAAAAAAAGTTAAGGACAGTAAATTTCTGCAGAGCACCAAAAAAGAGAAAAACTAAACTAGTTTTCAAAGCAAAAAAGTCATTATTGGTTACTCTCTCTATTGGCAATTGGCATCAACAAAGAAGCTAAAGCCAAATAGTTCGAAGCACCATGACAGTGATTTCGTTTCCCTTAAAGCATACCGCGATTCCTCCAATTATCTGTCAAAGGGCTAAAATTTTACATGTTATCTTGCCAACAGGAAGAAAAGATTCATACGTCATATTAATCAGCTATCTCTCTATCATAGCGAAAACGGAATATCTTTCAAATATTAGGATTTGCTTATTCATGCGTTAGGACAATATACACTTGCAGATTGTCCATGTGCACACAAATACAATAAGTCTTTCTGGATCATTAAATATTTTCAAGCTTATTATTTCTTTAATTTGCGGGTGATAGTGATGGAACATTTTCAATCTCCATGCATGTGAAACAAATAATTTGGTCTATTTGATGGGACCCTACAATCATCAGTGCACAGGAACAGAACAAAAATCCTGGGGTGGTGTATGCAATCCCAAGTTTGATCCCTTGTAAAATATTGATGTTCTAGTTAAACAAGTTTCATAAAGTTTTTTCAGTTTTAAATTCTTTGAACTCTTATAATTGAGTGAGGAACAAAATATATTTATATACATCTTATACTGTTCATAATTTGAGATAGTAATATATAAAGAGGCAGGCACAAGAAACTAATAAAAAACCTGTTGATTATGATCATCATGATTGAAGTGATAATGACGGTGTTGATGACGCTCTGTAATATTATATATAGTCTTATCTTTAGACTTGTTCTGGTGACAGATATTGTGAGAATAGTTTTAAGAAAGTGAAGAGAATGAACCATGAAATGTATTATTTTTCCTTTCAATGTCTTTTTCTTTTTCTTTTTTTCTCCTAAACTCAATATCTCTTTTGTAAATTTTTAAAACAGTACATCAAAATATATAATCATATAATGTACAATAAAAAGCACATCAAACATATAATATAATTGTTTTTCCAATATCTTTATCAAAATATTAATTTATTCTAAAAAAACAATGATCTATAAAATCAATAAATATTTTCTGCTTTTTCTTCCTACAGGCTTTTTTTTCTTGCATCTTTATATTTATTTAAAAAGAAAATATTGTCTATAATGTGAATAAATTATGAATTTACTCTTTCGAAAGCTTTTCAAGATGAGTTTTCTAAAATTATATTTTTGGAAGATTATTTGAAATGTGTTGGAATCACTTTTAAAGAAATGTTTCAGAAAACTAATTCCATAACGTTTTTAGAAAATTTTCAAAAATTTCATCTCAGAATATTTTTAAAAATTCATTCCAGAAAGTTTTTAGAAAAATGAATCTAGAACTGAAATCATATATATATATATATATATATATATATATATATATATATATATATATATGTGTGAAAAATTATTTCATAATTTAACTCTTCAAAAAATTCCAGAATAATAAAATTATATTTTAAATATCATAATTTAAAACTTAAAAAAATTATATATTTTCGGATTCATTCGTTCAAAAATTTTCTAGATTTTTAATCTAGTATACTAGTTCAATAAAACCCTAAACTATATTATCTTTTCAAATAAATATATGTCATATTTTTAGTATTAAGAGTCTAGACAGCCCAATAGGGCCTAATATGTTAAAGTAGCCTCACCACTCTATATTTTTCTTCTTACACCACAAAATTTACTGTGACACCTCTATTAATTTCACAATGGTCTTTCTCAAATATATTTATATTCGAGAAAACCCTTGTTTTGTTCATTCTCGAAGAAGTGTTGGATATTTTATCAGAACTTTTTTCGATAATGGTACGAAACAATAGTATCGTTGAAGTAGATATATTATTAACTCTAAATGGAAGGTTAATCTCTGAAAAACTCAACACATGTTTATTTATACACTTATTATAAGAATTATTTTATCAAATAATATATTCACATGAATTTCTTGAAAAAAAAATCATAAATTAAAACTAATTTATACACAAAGTTAAAAAAATAAAAATGATATGAAAAAGCTATTATAAATTAATTGTAACATGTATAGGTAAATTTTTTTTCTTAATTTTTTTTCCTGTTTTTATAAAGAAACTCAAAATTTAATAAGTTTATTATGAATATAAATAAGTATTTTAATTATTAAATATATATTATGTTTTAAAAATTATCTTAGGAACTTATTTTATATTAGACAAATATTTTAAAACATTATTATCAAGTGAATCTTGGTTTGTTGGATTAAATTAATATTCTAATATTAAAAAAATAATATGTAAATAGTTTCCACATATTATAGTTTTGCATATTATTATGGTACTAACAAAAAAAATATTAATAGTTTGTAGATATATAAAATGATAAACAAATAAGTCATTTTAATAAAATGATTTATATGAATATTAATGAGAAAGTTATTTTTTTCTATTATTAATTATCATTAAAAATGTTAGAAAATATAAAGAAATAATAAAGTGTAAAAAATGACATTATTATCTATATGATAGTTAATTTGCAAGATTTTATAAAATATTTACAATATCACGTATTATAAGATATTCATCAGAGTGAAAAGCTTGAATTTACGCCAACAAATACTGATCTAAATTGGTAGAAAAAGAACGAGGAAACACATTATTTTTATTTATTTATTTGAGAATAATATTATCTTTATATAGTGACTAAGATTTCACAAAAGATTATATACATTTATAAAAATTATTTAATCGACTAAAAGATTATATATCATTTCCTCATCATATCCTCAACGTTATCATCTTCTAAATCACACTATTATACTAATAAATACCCCTAAATATTTTCAACAACCAATGCTAATATCTCATCATACTTTTCAACTTCATTTTTAAATTTTTTCATTAATACAGTGGACTAACGTCAGGGTGTCAGGGATAAGTAAATATTTATGAAACTCATATATGAATAAATATATATAAAAATAATTTGAGTTGGACTGTGGGACTTAAATTACACAAAGTTGATTATATGACTGAGAAAAACATATACATATAATGTTATATTCTGTGTTTCAGATTTGAAACTTATTCATAAATATATTGTGTTAGATAATCATTAATGCTAGATTAGTTAAGTTGGCATAGTATTAGTGAAAATGGAAATAATGACGAACTTTTTATTCAAATTGAAAGGAAAAAGATTGATATTATCTCATTCAACCAAACCACTGTCAATGCTTATTCGCTGACTATTACAGTGTATATATATATATATATTCTAATAGTTCCTTAATTCTGTCAATCTTTGCAAAAAACTAAAGGCATTTGCCTCAGCATTCTCAACTAATGAACTATACACCAAAACTACTCCCACCAATTACTAAATCTTGAAAAATGCTTATTAAATTTCCACTTCAAACAACCTTTTCTTTTATTGTCCTTGATAATAAATAAATGAGAAATGCTACCACCTTTTGACCCATTCTTCTAAACATGCTATTATTTGGTGAATATCATACAAATCCCACGAAGGAGAGAATGAGACTTACATAATCGTGCAAGTCTTGCATGAATTTCACCTAATAATAAAATGTGTTAAAAAAATGCGTCCAATGGTGCATTATTACTTGCATTCCTCATAAATGAATAGCATATCCCTAATCGCATGTAATAGGTGCAAACGAATGATACGAACGAAATCATGGCCATTTGATGAAATTTGGTTCATCTGAAGACAAGATGGTGGCATGTATTATCACAGGGGTAAGGACAATCAATGGCCTTAACAACTGCTCGGTCAAAATACCAGTCTCCAACAGCCAAAGCAATTGCCTGCATATTGTCAACGCATATATAGTTTAGAATTAGACAGGAAGGTTTTAAAATTTAAAAGGGAAGCATGAGAAAATTGCATATACTAGCTTCAGTGATGAAAGACAGACACAGAATAGGATTAGATGCAGTGCCATGGAAGATTATAGAATCAATAATACTGAACGACATACTTTGGTGTATGGCTAACTGTAACAGATCACAATGTTGAGTTGCACAATTATAGTGCATGGCTTTAGCTTTCTTCTAATTTTTAATTCCTTTTCTTTTTTTCTTTCTGAACCAGCATGTATCATGAAATGGGATATCGCCACTGTTTAAAAGAACAATTTCTTGGTCCATAGCTGATGGACAAGCATAAATAAAGAAAAGTACTTCAAAGTAATTGATACGTCATAAAAGCAAACTCTACTTCAAGGTAGGAGGATGAAATATTGGCAAGCAAACACCAAAAAACAGATTCCATCAGCAAACATATATATGGCCAATAAACAAAAGCATGCATTTAAAATTTCCTAAAACTTCTCTCAAGGTGAATATATTGAAAAATTCGTATCATCATTAAGTAATTGTAAGCTCAATCAGGTATTCAAACTCTTCCGCATACCGAGATGCAATATTCTTAACTAAAACTGGATTAGAGACAGGATGAGGCACCCACCTTGTTACCGACAACAGGAGAGTTGTCCGCAAACCATGTATCCTGCCTCTCAGATTGGCAATGAGCAAAACATGAGTTTATGAACAATCCATTCTGATATGATCTTGAGAAGCCTTTCATAGCATTAAGCATTTGATTCCTGAATCCTGCATTAGATACAGTGAAATAACTTGTTACACTGACTAATATATTGTAGACATTTTTGTACTTCTAATGAAAGCAATCTCATACGTCAAACCACCTTGCAAATATTGGATTTGTGAAGCAGTACATTTAGCATGATTTAATCTACAATCATGCCAATAGCCACGGGGATCTGCTGATGAAGGAGCTAAGCTTGATTGGATCTGTTGATAAACAGAAAATATTTTCAGTATCAAGCCTACAATAGAATTAAAGCAAGAATTATCAGGAATTAAGACGACAACTAGGTGACAACATTTACCTGCCATGAGTCATAGGCAGTATTAAGAATGAATAGTGGGGTTCTAACGCCGGCAATCAAGTTTTGAGGGAAGAAGCACTGAAAGAGGGGGAAAAGAGATACATCACTGAAAGGCCAACTCAGAGCAAGCAACAAACTATGGATCATCATATCCCCGGAAATCCATTCAAATGAACTTGTTTTTCTATATTTTCAGAATCAAAGATATCAATGACTACCAAGGTGGGATCGAGGTGATTAGTACAACTGGCCGGCAGATTCTTCTGCACTCCCTGCAATGAATGAACAAAATATTTACCATCAAGCTGCAAGAGTTATAAGCATATTAAAATGGCCAAGTTTCAAACCTTACGAACTAATTGGCATGTGGCAAATCCTCAATTCATGTTAAACAAAGATTTTCAAAATTCAATTTGACCGCAATCAATTCCGACTGAGGTTGGGGAAAAACCTCGCGAAAAATCCATGATAAAAACAGCATGTATCAAACATGGAGTTTGAGTATAAATGACATTTTATTTGACATTAGCTTACGTGAAATAGTTTAACCATTTGTTTTTAGTCAATTGTTAAGATGACCACAAAATAGGAAATGTTGCAATGCATTTTGCTTTCATGACATAATAAATTGAGGTACCTGCAACCCTACGACACCACTGAAAAAATTCCTGATGGTATGTCCCCTAGACACGTCAATCCTGTCATTCAAAGGGGGAATTAACAAAAAATTTAAGGACCAAAAATCCTGTGGTAACAATGGAAAACCATTCATGAAATGAAATAGTGCAGTTAGTCACATACGCATCAAGAAATAACCCTGCATCACTGAGACACTTCACTTTGGTAGTGTGTGGGAAAAAACCTCGAAATTCATCACAGTGTATAATAGTAGCCAGACCACCAGCCGAGCATCCAGAAAGAAGAGCCTGAACCAAAAATAGTAGTAATATATTGTGAGAAGAAAGATTAAGCAGCAATGTATGTATGCATGTGTGTGCTTACAACCTGCTTGGCAAATCGCATTCCCTTTGACATCAAATCTTCAATTGCAGCCAACCATATACGTTGTCCTCTAAATTGCAGTTGAGCAGCCTGTTTCAGTAGATGATATTTGCAAGTAAGTATTATCCAATGTAAAGCAATGTTCGTGAAGTCAATATTTTCTTCCTTACTCGGAACTTTTATGATAAAATTGTGCTTATCCACGCCAAACTATATCCAAAAAGATGAATGTATCTACAGCTACATTAACAGATGATGATACAACTTAAAAAAAAAAACTAAAGAAAGTCGGAAAACGGAAAAGTTCATCTGTAGAAGAAAAGAAAATTAAGGCCTTGTCTATACCAGAGCCTTGCAGACATCTCCAAGAAACATGTCAAAAATGAAAGTTTCAAAAAGAACGGAAGCTGAAAAATAAGAGAATTAAGCAGAGGTATCTTATGTTTCTTCTTCGGAGTTATCAAATCTATTTACTGCAAAAATGTTATTGCAGAACTTACTATTATTAGGTAATTTAACATCATTTCAATTTTCAATAACTCCAAATCGTCATAGTTTACCTTATGTTCACCATCCCCGGCAAACGATGCACCATCACAATAACGAATTTTCACTCTGTTCCAGTTGAAAAAATCTGCAACCACAGGGAACGACACTAGGGATGAGGGACTGGAGATGGAAAAAGGATAAAGAGAGAAGTTCTGGTAGTTTAATTGAATGAAAACCTGGATTATCTTCAGCGCTATTGCTTAATATTCCTGTAAACGGAATCTGTTTCTCCATGAATGTTGATGACCCTCGCCGTGTTTTCTTGCGATAAACACATGATCTAACGTCATTACACCACCCACCTCCCTGTTACAGGATTTTCATTTAAATATCCACAGAATTATTTATGACACAAAAGGGAACTAGCGTCACGAACACACGAAAACAACGGTACATACATGTTCAGATCCCAAATTATTTTTCTGAGTATCTTCAATCATTGTCTTTTCACACACAAGAATAGTCGATTCCGGAATATTTTAACTACAAATGCTTACTCAACAACCATTATACCAATAAACTTACGTTGGATATTATTTTGGTATACACATCTTAATCTATTAAGAAGAAGTAATAACAAGCACGTGCTATAGATCAATTTGAAAACCCAAATTCATTTTATTGATACCTCTAAATTAACGATCCAGCTGTTTGCTCCTGATCCATATCCCCGATGTAAATGATAACCAGGCAATGTTCCATCCAAGCAAACTGCCACAGCAAAAAGAAAAGAAATATATATAACCAAATTAAAGGGCAACAAAATCTTAGCTATTACCCAAAAATAAGGCTCAGTATATGCTTCGTTTTTCAGTGATAAAAGCTGTAGAGCAAGAAAGCACCCCCCAATACTACTAGTGGACACCATTGGCATGATGGGATTGCATGAGATCCACTTAGAGGATTAGTACATAGGCTCATTCAAGTAGTTTCACTATGTAGTAACTAGTCCCTAATGACATGATGGGACTGCATGCATAGATCCACTAGTACATAGGCAGAGACAATAAGTAGTTCCATTATGTTGTAACTACTCAAATAGTCCCAAGGTGTGAGGGGATCTTACAAGAAAAAATTGTCCACCAACTAGAGAAAGTTACATCACGGGATTCAAATCTAGACCCATGCGAAAGGTCAAAATTCATAGCAGATCCTTAACCACCCACATTGGTTCTATATATGCTTTAATCTCTAAGTACATGCCCTCGTATTTAGCCAATTAAAACTCAATTGAAATGAACCATATGCAACAAGCCTTTGAAGCAATTTCTAACTAGATAAACTACATTGTAAAACAACAATGGATCTTACTAAAGCAAGAACCGAACAGCTAATCAACTCCGTTTCCCAAACTCCCATGAGATGAAAAATAAGAGGTTAGAGCTATATGGTACCTGCTCCTTTGGCAGCAGCACTTTGAATGAGTGTGAGTCCTACCATGAGAGGAAACCTCCCAAAGAGGGACGAATATGCTTGTTCTTGAGCCTCCAACAAAGAGAACTCGGTTTCATTGAAGTGGTGATACTGATAGGCTGAAAAGGCATCAACCCAGAAGCCAAAAACAAGTGCTGCAACAATGCCAATCCAAAAGAGGTTTCCCATTCTGGCTTTGCTGCTGGTGCGAGTAATGCCCAGTTGGCACAGCAGAATAAGCCAGAAGGTGTAGTTTCCTTGGTTAACTAATGGACCAAACAATGCACTATGCGCCAAATACACAATAGAGAAATGTGGGAAGGTTTTATAATAAGAGAAGAAGGAAGAAGAAGAGTATTTATAGACATTGAACAGTTTTTGCCGGGCTTTTTAAGGTTTTAATTACAGACAGCGCGTTTCAGATCTTAAGGTTGCAAGAGGGACAAAATTTTCACACACTGTTTTAGTTCTAATTTTTTTTATTTTATTTTAATAATTACTACTAATCTACTATTAATCAGTTAGACTTGGTTGCAGTTTAGTTTGGTTTGTACTTAAAAAAATCTCTTAATCAAATTGTCATAAAAATATTATGTATAATTAATTATAATATTTATAGTTTTAATTGTTTTTATATTTAATTTACAAATAATAATACATATCTTATATTATAAAAAATATTTATAATAAATATTATTTTATATTTTAGTTTTAATAATATATATTATTACGTAAAGTATTGATTTTTAATTTAACTGCTTCTCTGCACCCAGCTCACAATCACGATTTAGCAGTTCTAGTGCTCTACGTTTATTTTTTATTTATTTTTTTCTACATATAGTATTGAAAAATTATTAATGTTTAAAAAACTAGAAAAATAAATATAATTATAGTTATTTTGTTTGTATATTGGTAAAATAAGTAGTAGTCCAAAGTGAGTTATTGGAAATATTTAATATATATATATATATATATATATATATATTTTTTTTTTTTTGGCTCTAAAATAAATACCTGAATAATGAATATTTATTAAAAAAAATATTGTAACTAATTTCATAAAATATGTTTAAATATATTTTTCAGTTTCTTATATGAGATGGCTTTGATTTTAGTCTTTTGAATTTAAACTTGATTTTTTTAATTTGTATTCTTACCATTAAATATGGTATTATATTTTTTTTTCATAACATTTATTTGGACGAGAACTAAATGTTAGGTTTACATTTAAAGAACTAAATATAAAATTAATCTACAATTTAAAAAGTAAAAATATATTTAAACCTTTCTTTATGTATATTTGTTTTTTAATATAGACTTCGTTATACATATTAAGCCTGCATATGCACGGTATCACGTGTGAATTAACTGTGTTTTATAAAAAAATGTTAATTATATTTATCACTGTTAAGTATTTCCAGGTTAAATAGTAACAAAATTTTACGAGCTAATCATTTAAAAAAATAGGGTAATATTTTTAATTCAAAATTTGAAAGCATTAAATCATAAATCTTTCTAACTTATTTAATTTTCTCATTTTTATACTAACAAGACAAATAGAGTAAAAAATATTAATTTGATTTTAAAAATCAAGTTATTTATAATTGAAAACAAATCCTAAAATACCCGTTATCCAATAAAATTTTAAAATTTCTAATAATAAACCAAAATCTCTTACACAATTAATTACAAATGCTTTGCAGCAGTAAAAACCTATTAATAAATAAGAAAACAGTTCAATTAATTAAAAAAAATTGTATGAAAACTTCAAACTCATTATGGAATTCTCAACATTATTTAACGGATGTTTTCTTTCATTGATTTCATTTGGAAAAATAACATCTTCCGTATTTATTTTTCTAAGATGATGTTACATTTGTATTTATATTAGTTAATCCATTAATTAATTGTTAATTAAAATGTTATATTATTACAAACGGTTTTTATTCATTAAGACAATAAAAATGGGCATGGTTTCACATATCAATTTATTGTGTTTATATTCAATCATTGTAAATTTCTGAAGCATAAATATTCTTCATAGACAATTTTTTTCCACTTTTGTTGCGCTGCTCATTGCTTCAACATGAGAAAGTATGTATTATTATTTTTTCTCTTATTCATATGAATTTCTTTCCATAGAAAAACTTCAACCTATTTATGTGCTATTTGATCCATTTTTACTCTTCAACTTCTTTGATTTTTTTCCCTCTCTTGTTGTTTTCTTTCATTTAAGTCTTTGTTATGATTCATTATTATGCATATAATAAATAACTTTTCATATTTTAGTGAAAGTAATTATATCTATTAACCCTTTTCATTTTAACTATGAAATTTATTTATATTACTTTGAGTTTGATGGGTTGACATTTTGTTGCAGCAAGAGTTACATGATTACTTGCCATTTTTTATTTACTAAAGAAAAAAATGGCAATTTCAAAAATTATATTATATATTAGTGTTTATTGTGTCTAGAGTTCATAGGATACTGATTTTTCGTTCTCCTAATTTCGTATCAAGAAAACAATTTTATTTTTCAAGTTTATGATTTTGCTTATTTCTTTTTAATCTTTGAACACATGAATACTTTTTTTTCACATTCACGAGCAATTAGGAAAAAAAAATATTTGCTTTCATGGTATTTCATTCTTATATTTTTTTTTGTCATAAAAAAAAGTATACAAATAATGTTAAAAATAATTTTTTTTATAAACACTCTATAACTCTTATTAATAAAGATATGTGATATATTATATTTGTTTAGAATGAAGAGGGGTTTATACGTAAATATAGTATTTAATAGTTATACTTGCACTTTGGTTGGGTTGAATCTAAAATAAACTTGAAAATCAATAAGTATGAAAAAAATTGTTTGAATTTAGGTTATACTTTTTTAATTTAATTTTCTTTTAAATTTGTTTAAATTGATTCATCTAGCCAGAGTAATTTCGACGACTCTAGTTAAGATTTTATATAATTAAATATGTGATAAATTATAACATGTAAGTGAACAAAGATATTGTTTTATAAATTAATTTTAAAAAATTAAAAATTAAATATTTAAGTAAGCATATATAACATTTTAAAATCATAATATTTAGCGTGTAAAATCAACATCAAATTTAAAAATTAATTAAAAAGTTGGTTGAGGAATTGGTAAACGAATCATCATCTTAATAATAGTCAATTAACTATGTGACTGGAATTTGATGTGGACTCCATTTAGGGTTCATAATCGCAGACGAAGTCAAGGAAAGAAAGAAACCAAGTTCTTGAAGCACTTGTTATATTTCCTAAACCTGATGCCACGCCCAGTTTATAGTGTATGAAGCAAACAAACTGGTATTTATTTTTCTTTCCTTCTTCAGCTACTAGGGTTACCTAACTCTTCTTTTCAATGACCAAATTAGGTTGCTGAAATTAATCTATAAATTACAAAAAAATTGTGTTACATTTTTATAATCTTTGTTTGGGTAAAAAATAAAATTATATGAATTTAACGCGGGCAAAGACTTGGTCGAGCGACAACAATTGCTTTTCAACGAGCCCCGCATCACTAGACCCAAAAAAACGACACTTGGTGTCTTCGTTTCGTTCACGCAACATCTACTTTTGTTGTTTCGCTTGTGTGTATCTGGTGCATAGATTTTTTGTGTTGTTGTGTCTTGAGTGAAGACACCTAAACATACATTCACGCTAGTTCGCACATTCCTCCACGCAACGCATATAAACCAAGTTTTGTGGACATTTATGGAGTCTCTCTTGTGCTGAATACTCTATCTATCCAAGTCAAGTGGGTGGTGAAGTTTATCCATGACTTAATTGTTTTATATGTTGGTGTTTTCATGTAACTATCTAAGTCTTAATCAAATTTATGAATATAAGTTAGGCCAATAGAACCTCATTTGAGTGTCAAATACTCAAGAGAATTAATTTTATTAGTCTAAATTACTGTTTTTTTTTTAATGGGATTTGTATGAGACCACGAGGATTGAATTTGAACTACCTATTTTAAGACCGCAATGACCCGTAAGTTAAGATGGTCAAAAGTGTCAAACTTTTAATAATGTTTGCTATGATCACGTGCTATAGATACAAAATATTAATGTGAAAAAAAAAATAATAGAGAGAGAAAGATAACGTAGGTGCATGTGAGATCTGTGCTTATGTGAACTCTCCTAATGGCAGAGACGCACACGACTCAGCTAGCCACAAGTTTAAAATTTTATCATCCAAATTTTTATAATAACAAAACAATATTGTTTCACTCAAAATGATCATAGAATGAAAATATGACCATATTTTTTATAAATAAAAAGAATCTGTTAACTTAAAATTTAACTTCACAAAATAAATAAATAAATAAATATATATATATATATATATATATATATATATATATATATATATATATATATATATATATATTAAGATTTAAGAATTGTCCAATAATCATGTGCGTGGATGCGTCGGTGGTAGTTCACTATGGTTCGTCTCTCTGATGGTCTCTGTGAGTTCCTAATAAGTTATTATAAGTCAATGTTTAGTACTTTATCATTGAAGTGCAGTAAGATTTCCACTGTGTAGAAAAGAAAATTTTAAAACTGTTTTTCTATATTTCCTAATATTTTAACTTTGAGATCTATGTTATTTTAACTTCTGTCAGTTTAGGTTTTTCAAGGTGCTTTTAGCTTATATTTTATTCGAGGTTAAAGTTAGAAGTATAATTTTTATGTGTTTTATTATTATTATTGTTATGTTATTGTTGCATTTTCACTTTCGGTTAATGACCTAAGTTCTGGGGATTATTATATTAGCCTCTTCAAGTAACTTAAATTTTTATTCTTTGTTCTCCACGTAATAAAATCTCCTAGGGTGAAACTTTGAATTATATTAAGTTCTATGAAAAAAGATAATGAATTATAAAATATTTTTTTTATTGATTTAAGTAGTGAAGTACTTTGTAATTATCTTCTCACCAATAATATTATTCAGATACGAGAACTTGCTCCCTAACATATTTTGACAGAAACTTGGAAAAAATTCAATACGCTAAAGTTAATGTAGGAAAACAAGTATACTATCTCTATAATCTTGGACAGAGAAAAATGTTATATTTTCTTTTAAAAAAACTTTTTAAAGATTTAGGGTTGATGATAGCATGAAGGTACTGCATTCAGATGAGGTAC